AACTTGTCGTCAGCTCCACAGGAAATGCTCACCCGGGCTCCTAGCTTTAGTATCTGACAAAAGCGCGAAAAGCACGACCTTGAATAAGTGTCCAGCAGTACGAACACGGATTTTAGTGTCCAATCTTAACTCTAACACTTAAGTCGATTTCCAGTTAATAGCCCTAATCGTGCCAAAAAGCCCACCCTAATCCTAAACCTAGTCGTAGCTGAAAATCCTAGACCAAATGTAATTATAATTTTGATTTTAATAATACACCTGGCGTGCCTATATTCCTGACTCTATGTCAGAAGAAGATCGAGCGTAACCAGGTTAACACGTAAATTGTGTCTGTTTAATATTGGTTTCGTCTCCCTTCCAGCATCACTTCTGCCTAGACCCCTCTAGTTCTGCTGGACTAAATGTACAGTGTCTGCACTGCTCGCTTTTTCGGGATAAAATATATCTCCTGTCTGTTTGGAATTTGCGTATTTACAGGGGAATGATGTCACTTACGATATCATGTGTCGACTCGTGGGCAATACTTAATTTACTGAGGATCAGACACCAAACAGAGATGAACTTTATGGAAGGAAAAATGAATTGTCAAAAGGCGAGTCAGAACTGAAAAAGAGAATACACAGCAATTCATACGACGAAAATTATGTATACTATTAAGTTAAATTTTGTCGATATGAACGATCGAAGTAGCTCGAAAGTGATTTGGTGATATCTTCAAGATAAGAACGTGAAAAATTGGAATAAATGAAAGATGTTCATTGGATTGGATTTTAACCTTATCGAGACACCGAAGCTCCTCGGTAGGATAAACTGTCTTCTGGCAAGCGGAGCAAAGAGTCATCCTAACTAGTGCCTTGTTTTGGGTGTAATCCTTTAAGAGTAATTGATGGATTTAAACAAAAACACGAATTGAAACAAAAAACTATTATAGCTGTTTCTAAAATCTATTGTACTTTATGCAACAACATTCTTAAGGATTTTCCAATTTTTTCACTGTTTTGGCCGGTTGCTTTCCATGGATAATGGCAGTGTTACGCCTTATCGGTCTGTCTTAAATGCTACATATGTCAGTGAAAATAGGACGCCCTCATTTTCATTTTGGGTATTTGCATCCAAAAACATTTTCAAACAATGAAGACAGCCGAGTTCCCTAATATTAGATTGCATCCTTGCATTCTCTTTTGGAAAATACACACCATTTTGCATGTTACACAACGAAAATTCGAGAAGAGATCCTATCCCAAGCCCTGGCGTGCGCCCTATCAACAGCAGTTGCAGAACTTGTTATTTTATTCCCTTTACGCCTACGAGATGTCAAAAGGCTCGATATCTAGTCTGTTGACTCTTACCACGACATGTCGGGATGAGCGCGCCGCGTGTTCTTATCGGTCAACCGTGTTTGGTCATTTTCGGCCTGATCACTCCGCGCTCCATTGTTAGACTGCCCGCTTGTGTGCGTGAGTATTGTCATTGCGCTCAAGTTTGTCCTGACAAGCGAGCACGTGAATGTGTACTGCGTATACATTTACGTTTTCTTCAGTTCAGTCCAGTTTATTGAGGGAAATGGGTATGAGAATTTGAGTACCCTACTTGCAACGTAAAACTGTATGATGTACAGAAAACTCTTCTAAGCTGAAACGGTTCAAACGGGCCCATAATGTTAGGACAAAATGGGAGTAAGTCGCAGGGAATGAGCTCGATCTCTCATCGCTCTTGGTCATTTCAGAACATAAATATGTCAAGGCTGATCGTGGTAACAAATTCAAAAAAAGTCCTCAAAGACAAGAATGCAGTCCAACGCCTTCAGTATGCGGAATGCTTGCAAGAGGTCCCTGCAAAGTTGCCTGTGATTCACGGGGTAGAGGTTTAGATTTATTTAGCTTGTGGAAAGGAGCTTTGACTCCCCCAACCATCTTCGTAGCTCTCCTCTGAACTTTTTCGAGACAATTTTGATTTTTAACCGCCCATGGTCTCCACACTTTATGCCGTACTCGAAGTGCGACCGCGGGAATGTTCCGAAAGTCTTAGAGAGAGCGGTTCCGTCGAAATCCATAAATGCTTGCTTGATGACGTACAGTACGTACATTGTGCTTACTGATACTCCCAAACTTTGAGCGAATAGTTTTAGGAAGCTCCTCGTCAGCACACCAACGTCGTTTTTGGTTTAGACGTCTCGTTAATTTGTGCTGCCCAGAAAGTTGTCTCTTATACTGGCGGATCTGGCTGTGTTTCCTAAAAGAAGTATGTTACATTTACCAATGTTAAACCGCACGAGCTAATGGTTTGACCACTCTTCCAATTCATTTAGCTTAATCAGCAGTCTCTCTTTGTCGGCAGGGTCCCCGACTACATTCCATATTTTCATACCAACGGCATGTCGTCGAGAAATCGGGTCCAGATATGGAGAGATTGCAACAAGTTTGTCCTGCAGGATTTTTCTTTCCAGAACCCCACGTTGGCAGTTTGATAGCAAGTCGTGAACTTCCAGGAATTGCATCCATTCACTCTTTATGATCTTCTCCATAACTTTGCGCAGAATGCACTGAAAGTTTATGGGCCTGTAATTTGCTGCCGATTCCCGGCTACCTCCTTTGTGTAGCGAAGTAATATGCGTCAGCCTCCAATCGATAGGAAGTATTCCAGCGCCAAAGTACGTTTGGAAGAACATCGGAAAAGGCACCGAAAGCTCATTGATAAGTTCCTTGAGATGTTTGGATGGAAGCTTGTCTGGTCCTGGCGAATTATATTCGTTCAATGCCTCTAATTTTCTTCGGACAATGCCTTGTGGGAAGTGTAGGGTACTTATGGTTGTAGTCGGCAGTTCTTCTCTGGACTGAGGAACGAACCTTGCCTCGTTTGTGTAGACAGATTGGAAAAACTGTGGAAAATACGCAGCTGTGTCCCAGCTATCAGCAATTTCAACGCAACCGTTTGTCCTTATTAAAGGAATTGGATACCCATTCCTTGTAATTCTGAAGTAGCTGTAGAATAATTTTAAATTCTGTTTTGCTTATCGCGGCAAATCTTTCACAAATTGTTGGCGCGTCTTTATTAACATACTTTTCAGTTTGCTTCTTTGTGTCCTGAAGGTTATAACTTACTCAACTTGTCCCGCAACGCAGCATTTTCTCCAAAAATTTTGCTTTGTGTTAATTTCTTTCCTTCGGTTGCTATTTAACAGCCCAGGGCGTTGGTTCTGCCGCACACTAGCCCAACGTGCGGGGCAACTGCTCCAATGAATAGAGCATATTTGTTAAGCAGGCGTGATTTCTTTGAAAACCATTTTGGGAACTATCAAAGAAATTCTTTTCTTCAATGAACTCCATAGTTGCTTTCTTGACCAGTATCTCCATAACTTCGTGACAAATGCAAGTTAGGCTCACCGTCTGATAATAATTTGTACTTGTTCTAGATTCACTCTTGTAAATGTATATTCGCCACTTTTCCATTGGAGGGGACAATACGTCGGTCAGAGGACGACTGGGAAATATGCAAAAGCTCTCTGGCGAGTTCGCAAGCCAGCTCCTTTAGAAATTTTGCGAAATTTGATTTGCACCCGGAGAGTTACACTACTTAAGCGCTAGAATTTCTTTTCTCACATCTTCTTTTGTGAAGTCGATGTTATCAATTATTTCGTCAGTTGTTCGAGTAGGCAATCCAGCCCGTTTCATCGGTGAAAACGGATGTGAAAAACCGGCTAAGATGCTTTGCATTAACCTCATATTTTTGATATCTACATCGTTTTGTCCTTTCAACACTGCGACCATCTCTTTGTGTTTTAACCCGCTGTTGATGCAGCTAAAACGTACTTTTGGCTTATCGACGGCCTGTTCCATAACTCGCGTGTCATAATACTTCGGCGATCTGCGGACAGTCGACATTACCTCGTTTCGCTTTCGGTGAAACTGCCCATGACGGGAATTTTTTTCGTTGCTGCATACCTTCTCCATAGTTTATTCTTCTGGTTTGCTATGTTCTTTATATCCGGCGTAATCCAGGCAGGACGATTATTGTTTTTGACTCTCTTTTTCGAACAATCTGGATGCAGGACGTTGGTTACAACTCCTTTGGCAGTGTTTCAATCCACATCTGGATATCCGGTAAGAACGTCATGTTAGTTCACTACCGGTAATTCACTTCTCACGACAACGAAATCTCCTTGACAGGAATTCCGCGGAGACTCAGTCGTTTCCATTTGTTGTATGCACAGGCGGTATTACCAAAACAGCATGACATGGTCAATCTTACCGAGCAGTGCTCTGGACCTAAGCTCGCCAGCAATAATTTGGTCTGACTCGGTTTAGTTTAGATTCCTATGAAGACCGACTACGACGTGGTTCCGAATTCAGCGGAGTGATCGCGAACCAGCAGAAGACGAAGATTACTGACAAACTGGCCGCAGGGGCTCAGTCGTTTTTTGCTTCAACTTAACATTTGATAAGTCGGTTCAAGTCAGTTTATTAAGCGGATGAGGCTTTCGCCCTTGAGCTCCCTATTCATTTTGATAAACAGAAATATAATAAACAATTACATCAGCAAATGCAAAAATTCAATAGTCAGCGGTAAGTGCAAGCCAGGCGCAAACTACCGCCGCTAAAACAATCGTGATTATATGCACAGTAGTTTCTCAACGAATGAGAATCTAGTCTACAATTAAAGGACTCGATAGTTTCGAAAAGAACCACTGCCTCAGGGAGTCCTTCCCATGCCCCAATGACCCTGTGAGAGAAGGCGTTCTGTCGGACGTCCGAATGCGTCAGCTTCCTCTGCAGTTTGAATGGATGACCACGCAGACAGTCAGTCCCGGCCAATTCGAAGAATTCATCAAAATCCAGGGCGCACTTACGGCCTCTGACAATCCTGTAGGTTTAAATGAAATCGTTGTGCAGTTGCCTGTAAATGAGAAGAAGCAGATTTAGTTCGGCCAGCCTGGTTTCGTAGAGCAGATGATTAAGATCCTTGATCATGTTCGTAGCCATCGCCTGTACTCTTTCCAGTCGTTAATAATCTTTCATCAACCACGGTCGCCAGGCCTGGACTGCATACTCTAAGTGAGACCGAACGAATGCCCCATTGGTTTTCTTGAACAGTTCTTTATCGATCTGCACATATCCTCGCCTCAGCGCAAATAACGCCCTTATCGCAATTTTGGCTGCTCTTTGACACTGTGATGATGGTTTCAGCGAGGAGGTCATTAGGACGCCCAGGTCTTTCTGTTCCACAACATTTGACAGGGACTGATCATCCAGGATGTATCGAAGGGAATCGTCCTCCTTACTGGTCTTTATGGTGCTGAGTCTCATGACCACATATTTGTCCACATTATAATTAAGGAGCCACCGAGCTGACCAACTGTTCAGGCGGTTGAGACTGTCTTGAAGCGCGTACCTGTCTTCGTCAGATCTGATGGTTTTCAAAAACTTGACATCATCAGCAAACATGGTGGCGCTGCATCCCAGGTCGTCGACGCATTCGTTAATGTAAACCAGGAATTGCAACGGCCCTAAGACGGAGCCCTGGTATACACCACTTAGAACGGGGTTAGGAGTTGACCTCGAGGCCTCAACGCTCACGGTTGTCGATCTCCCTGTAAGAAAATATGTTATCCATGTCAGCAGCCTTCCTTTTATCCCAATTTCAGAAAGTTTGCAGATTAGGCATTTGTGTGGGACGCTGTCGAACGCCTTCTTGGAGTCTGTGTAAATGACATCGATCCTACCATCCTCGTCCAGTGCGCGAGTCCATTGTTTCGTCGAGAGCAATAAACTGGAAAGGTACGAGCGGTTCTGTCTGAAGCCGTGCTGCAGGTCTGAGATTAAATGGCCCTGCTCCAGGAACTCCATTGTTGCTTTCTTAATTATGGCCTCCATTATTCTACAACAGATGCAGGCGAGACTAACAGGCCAGTAATTATTAGCATTAGTGCCAGAACCGCCCTTGTATATCGGAAAGATATTTGCTGTCTTCCATTCCGATGGCAGTCTCCCTAATTCGAATGATGAGCGCAAGATGTGTGCCAGTGGCATGGAGAGTTCAAAGGCCAATTCTTTCAAAAATTTGGCCGGTATATTGTCTGGACCCGAGGACTTTGCTTCTTTGAGATTTTGCAGCTCCCTTTCCGCGACAGCTGTCTGGAAGTGTATGAATTCAAGCAGGGGACCAGCGGTCTCAACAGCATTGCTGGCACTGTGACTACGAAAGTCTGTTTCCCTAGTAGAAACCGAGGCAAAATACCATCTTAATTGTTCGGCTTTCCCGCTGTTCTCAGTGATTTCTACACCATTATCATTCTTCAGCATTGCGACCGGGTCCTCGTTATTCAGTTTACCGTTAAGATAGTAAACTAAAATCTTGGGCTTCTGTTCAGCCTGCTGGATAATTTTGGATCCATACTTCCTCCGTGCCTGAAGGACACATTTTTTGACTGCATTTCGTTGACGACGAAGTTCTTTGAAGTGCACTGGTGACGCAGTTTCCCTGAATATTTTCCATCTATTGCTTTTCTTTCGTAGCAGCATATTTAGGTCCCTAGTTAACCAAGCAGGTCGACTAGTTGATTTTCTACTTAAGGTGGACAAAATCGCCGAATTAGTTTGAGTGAAGTCGTCTTAAACGATCTGCAGTCGTCCTCAGATCTCCCCTTACCAAACGGTCCCAATTTACGGACATCAATTCGTCCTTTATCGTGTTAAATTCTGCCTTCCATAAATTACGTTTGCCTCCTGTTCTCTTCTGGCGTTGAGAGAAGAAAGAGTAATTCCATAGTTGCGTAGTATGGTCACTTTTAGCGAGAGGTGCATTGGAATACACTTCGTCGATATTAGAGAAGTCTTTAGTGAAAACGAGGTCCAGACAATTCGCTCTCTGGTCCTCTCGAATTCTTGTTGGTACGTTTACATGTTGCGCCAGAGGGAGATCGAGCGTGAGGTCCATTATCTTACTGATAAAGGAATTTGGCCCACCGTTAACTACCATAGTTTCCCACTAAATTGCAGCTGCGTTGAAATCCGCAGCAATAAGTACCTTTTGGTGGCTAGTTACGTCTTTGACTAAACCAAGGAGCGACTCATCAGCTACACTCAGAAGGTTTGGTGGTCTGTAAGTCGTCAGGGCTTCTAGATTTTGTGCCTTACTCTTCTTTATCTTTATCCAGACGGATTCATAATCAAGGGAGAGTGTGTGGGCTTGTTCAACGGCCGAAATTCCTGCCCTTACATATGCGACTACCCCACCGCACTATCTATTTTGACGGTCTCTACAAAAGAGCTGGTAACCCGGAATCGAAATCTCAGCATCCAAGATTTTGGCATTAAGCCAAGTTTCCGTTAGGGCGATGACTTCGGGGATTCGTTCTGAAACTACCGCTTTGATTACTTCGATCTTCGAAACGAGACTTTTCGTTTTGAAAAAAGCTCTGTTTTGTGTGCAGTGAACAAGTCACCCAGCATTTCAAGCCATGCGTTATAAATTAATACAGTCTCGAAGAGGTCTTCTTAGCATGAGGAATGCAAAATCCACGACCCTACTATGTGTGACAGAAATTGGCCGATGGGGGAGCGATTTGGACCAGAGACCCTCGGACGAGAACCGACGCCCCTTACCACTCGGCCATGTTCGGACCGCCTGTCGACAAAAAAATAATATATACCCAGAAAAACGCGATCTATTCCTCATCTGGAAGCTGTTTTCTACTTTCTGTGATAAAAAATTACCGGAAATACTTAACTTCATATCAACTGGGAACCATGGCTCACTGATCATTAATCCTGAAGTACGCTGCGCACTACTGAAATCGACCACAAATAAGTTGAACTTTGAAATATGGACACGGTATGATGGATGCCGAGAACTTATCATCACAGTTCTAAAATTAGAAAAAGACGTCGATCTTCTTACAGAACTAACAGCATCACTTCTCAAGCATAACAAAATTAAATATCCAGAACACGATTTAAAAGACATGAAAAACTCCATAAATGAGCCCGGACCACAGGAATCTCAAGAGGCCGGAAAAAGGCGATGAACGTCATGGTTAGCGAAACAAGAAGAGATAATGAACGAAGTCATTAGACAGGTCTTCCGACTCAATCATAATAGAGGGGAACAAAAACTAAACAGACGGAAGTGAAACTGGCTGTCACATTTCCCTGACTTTGGAAAATCCGGACATACAGAATCCGTTTGCACCAAAATAAGGCAGCGATCGACGACTCCTAAAAACTGTAGACAGTGATCGTATGGTTTTACCTACACCACGACAACATGGCTTCCGGAGAGGACATTCCTACCTCTCAAATCTGCTAGCTTGTCTGGAGATCTGGACCAGAGCTCTAGAAGAGGGTTTTGAGCTCGATGTCGTGTACATCGATTTCCGCAAAGCTTTCGATACTGTCACGCACCAACGACTTCTTCACAAATTGAGCACCATCGGCATTCGGGGAGATCTCCTGAGCTGGATAAGGGCGTTTTTAGTTGGTCGGAAACAACCTGTCTGTACCGGAGATGATATGTCAGAATGGGTGAACGTGACCAGTGGTGTGCCTAAAGGCTCAGTTCTGTGACCATTGCTCTTCATCCTTTGTATTAATGACAGCCTTCAGGAACTCGACTGCGGCAAAATGATGTTTGTCCACGAAGTTAAGCTCTGGCAAGTCATTAAGGGTCCGAATGATCAGAGATCCCTTCAAGATAATTTGCACCGACTGCAAGCGTGGTCGAAGAAATGGCTTCTAGATTTTAATGTGGAGAAGTGTGCCGTCCTTCATCTGCGTCCAACCAATTCTCATTCAAATGAAAGCCTGAGGGCATATCACCTGAAAGATATAGGGCTCCCCGCAGAGTCTTCGCAGAAGGATCTCGGGGTTTGGATACAGAACAACCTGAAACCAACACTACAGTGCCCCCGGCCGCAATAAACGCCATGGGAGTGCTCCATGCAATCAATGGGGCGTTCGTAACCTTTGGCCAAGAGCTTTTTGGGAGAGTGTACGGCATCTTTGTTCGGCCTCATCTAGAATATGGCCTACAAGCGTGGCGGCCATGGCTAGTAAAGGACCAAACATGCCTCGAAAGGGTACAACGTCGTGCAACAAAGCTGGTAAATGGTCTAAAAAGCCAATCCTACACAGACAGACTGAATTGCCTTAATGTATTCCCTCTGTGTTACAGGCAGCAAAATGGTGATCTTATCCTCGTCTACAAGATAATACATGGCCTTGAGCATGGACTTAACTTTGAGGACATGCTTCAGTGGCACCTTTCACCCAGTCTTCGTGGTCACTCGATGAAGTTACGGACAACAATGTCCCAGCTGATTCTTTTTTCTGAATTTTTCACGCAGAATGTAGTGGTGAAATGGAACGATCGCCCTCAGTCACACTTGGATGTGATCTCTCTGCAACTTTTTAAGAGACGTTTGGATGATTATTTTTGTCCATTGTTTTCCCTCGACAGTCTGAATGTGAACTAATACCCCACGACCCCGCAAAATATTTTATATGAGACAATCCTACTGAAATGAATGAAATGCTGTTTTAATAGCACATATTGCCATTGCTCGTGTACAGTTATTTCTGACGAGCTGACGTGTAATCAATAGGGTTTTCAAAGGCTTTGCCTATTCTCCTTACCAAATAAACTGAACTGAAACGAACTAGCACTGGTAGCTCGCCCTGTGGATATCTATCAGGCTGTAACGCAACAGGTCATGTCGGACAGCAAAGTAAAGAGGTAAAGGCGCACATCATGGAAGTGCGCAACCTAACGACAGGCACTGACGCTGCAAACCTAAAAATACTCCCGCCGGGCGCAAGTCGAGCGGACGGAATGTCAGAACAAATCACATTGGTTGAAAGATCCAAAACGACGTATAAGAATCAACCACTTATCTCACCGTTTGAGAACAATGCGAACACAATAATAAAGGTAGAACGAAGGTCCGTGATTCAACATACCACCAATAAAAGAAAGCAAGAGAGACAGAATTTTCCCCTGAGTGATCACTTTGTGTGGTGGTTCAGGGAGTCCGTGAGGTTACTGGCGAAACCCCGAAGGAGAGGGCCAGGCAGGACTTTTTGACACTCCGAACTTTGGTAAATGACACTCAAGGACCTGATGAGGTGTTCATAATAGAAAAGATCTTCCGTTTGGGGCCTATAGTTAAAGGCAAGACCACTGAATGTCATCTTGGGAAGGAAGCAGCAGGTAGATCTAATTTTATCTTGAAAATACAGGATGCAAACTGACAAGGGTGGAGTGTTTTTTCAGCCAGACTACTCTCCCATCGATCAAGTGGAATGGAGAACACTGAAAGCAGGACTGAAAGGCGTAAAGATTAAGGAGAAAAATCCGAAGATTTTGGACAACAAAGATATAAAACCGGAACATAATTTTCTATCGAATCATGCCGTTCATCATTTCTACCGAAAAATTGCAAATTTGAAGACAGACAATGAACCTGATGTGTCGTACAAGGTGTATAGCAATATTTATCAGGAGCAAGAATCAATAGACAATTTCCAGAGACCAAGAGAACCAGAAATATGATAGGGACGTACACATATTTACAGCCCTTTCAACAAAATGGATGAAATTAAACTGGCCGTGGCCCACTTACAGCCTGACTTTGTAGCCCTAACTGGATCACGGTTTACTAAGCAGATAGTTGACGCAGAAGTCATGCTGTACGGATTTCCGCCTATCCGCATGGATCGAAATGGACGTGGTGGTGAGGGAATCGCGATGTTCATGCGGGACGGCATTAGCTACACCGCCGATGTGTCCTCCTCAAAAGGGAACATTGGCTACGAAATACTTAGTTGTAAATAGGAAATAGCAAACCAACCGGACCTCCGTATTGCGCTGGTATACAGACCCCCAAGACAGCAGAATGATACAGGCGATGCACTCATCACAGAGGTAAGGCGAATCAGCCGTAACGAACACGTAATAATTATTGCAGATTTTAACTGTTCAAGCATCGGCTGGAAATCGATGCACTGCACACGATCGGAAAAATCATTCGAACAGAAGCTACTTCAGTCGGCCACTGACGAATTCCTTGCTCTGTATGTTCCGGTAGGCACCCGATTCCGATGTGGACAGCAGTCAAACGGTTTGGACCTCGTCATTACCAGGCATAAAATCTGTACACATAAATTGAATTCTAACACGCATCTTCGTTCTTGTTTGAGCGTACAGTCATTTTTCTGTGCCCTAAATTCGAATCGCAGGGAGGAGAAATGTATGGATGAGGGATTTTTTCAAAATGAAGGAACTGCTGACTGAGACAGAATGCAAACCTGCACATGTATCTGACCCGAACACCGCCTGGGTTTTCTTAAAGGATGTGATTCGGCACTTAGTAGAAATCTGTTGCACCCTTAAAAGGAGATCTTGCATCTCCCAACCGGAGTGGGTGACATCGGCTGATGGGCGCTGGGTTGGGTAGGATTGGCTGATGGCGGCTAATAAGCCAGAAATTGTCATTCCCGTCTCCCTTGTCTCTGTCAGTAGTATC